TTTTGCGTCAATCATATCTTTTGGAATTATGGCCAAAAAGTTCAACCTTGGTTTCATCAGACCATAACACATTTTCCCACATGCTTTTGGGAGACTTCATATGTGTTTTTGCAAAATTTAGCCGGGCTTGGATGTTTTTCTTCGTAAGAAAAGGCTTCTTTTTTTCAACCATATACCAGTATTATCTGTATCAAAACGTACCCAGATTCAGACTTAGGATAAGTAAGTGAATATATTTTATTAAACAATTTTGGTATTCATTAAACAAGCGAAAACTGCATTTTTGAAAACATAGTTACATAGGTGGTAAGGTTGAAAAAAGACACCAGTCCATCCAGTTCAACCTGCATGGGTATGGATGTGTGTGTGTGTGTGTGTTTATGTCAATACCATTTCCAAAATCTCTGTATATTGCATTCGCTGAGATGTCCATCTAAGAAATTTTTTAAACCATCAACACTTTCTGCTGACACAACCAGTTGTGGAAGGGAGTTCCACATCCTTACTGCTTTGACAGTAAAGATTCCCTACACAGTTTAAGTTTAACCCACTTCTCAAATTTCATTGGTGGGCTGCGTGTCCTCTTAAGCTCCCTGAAACTGATTATTTTGTTTTCCCTATGCTTGAATCACCATTGAGGTATTTGTGTATTGCTATCATATCTCCTCTCAAGCATATCTTCTCCAGGAAGAATAAATGTAGCGCTTGTAGTCGTTCCTCGTAACTGAGGTCCATTATGGATCATTTGCTTATGATTACAACATGCTGGGGAATTATTAAAACATTCTACCAAATTAAGCCCCAGTGTAACTATGTAAAATTGCCATACCTGGAATTCAGCTTTAAGGAGTAAAGGCCCAACTCCAGCCAGAGGTTTTTTTTTGGCTAGAGTGGGAAAGGGTTAGAGCCTATGCCAGATTTTTATTGACATCTCTGTCCTTACTGGGTAGACCCCCCCCCCCCTTACTGTTAGGTGACACTTCTTGTAAGCAGGCTATAAAGAAGAAATGTAGTCTTAATCCTTTCCTTTAATTTCTAATGGTAGAGCTGTCCATATTATAACCTAAAACATTTTTTTTTTTTTTGGGAGGTCTGGAAGGCAGCTGATTTCACTATTGACAACTATTACATGCTAAGAAGAACTGATCTCTTGTGTATGACCATGGCATGTGGACCCAACAGTGTTTCATGTATTGAGATGGTGCGCTTTTATTGCATTGGAGCTGTGTTGTGGTCATCTTCCAGTAGCTGCTTACTAAAATAGTTAGCTAGGTAGTAAAATGAAACCTTTATCTAGAACTAGATAAGGGCTGCCATTGCTGACCTCCTAAAATGCTAGTTCTTGGAGTGTCATGCTGATCCCTCTCCCTTTCTTAGTCACTGGCCTGGAATATGTATATGGAAAGTCAAGCCAAAGAGATGTCCGGTTCCTTATACGCATACAGCACTTGTTTCAGGTCAGAGACTCAATGTTTTAAAGATATTACATCAATTTCACAGCCAGGCACGTAACATTTTCTTAAAAAGAGCTCAGCAAAGGCTGTTTTTTTTGTCCAGGTGTTTTGTAATGCACCTGTCTAACTAAATTTTGGAACACTATGATCATTTATTTGTTGCAAGGAATTTAACAGAATATGTAAAAAGGAAATCGGGGTGGCAAAAATTCAAAATGAATGACAGATTGCAAAAGACAGAACAAACCCCAGAAATTCTTCAAATATATTAATAATAAAAAGCTCAGGTCCGAGCATGTAGGCTCTTTACAAAATAATCTAGAGTGCGTGACTGGGGACAAAGAGAAGACAAATTTATTAAATACCTTTTTCAGCTCTGTGCATACAAAGGAGCATGGGGAAGCTCTTGTCCATAATGGGCATGGTAATGACACAGCCCCAGATGATCCACATTGGCTCACAATTGATATGATCTAGAAATATTTAGACAGAAAAAAGGTGACTAAAGCACCTGGACTGGATGGCATATACCCACGGGTCCTGAAAGAATTTAGTTCTTTAATTTCAAAGCCATTGTTTCTAATTTGTAGGGACTCTTTAATGACTGGCATAGTACCATTGGACTTACGTAAGGCCAATGTGCTGCCTATATTTAAAAAGAGATCAACATTTTTACCAAGTATCTACAGACCTGTTAGTTTAACATCTATAGTTGGGAAGATACTGGAGAGTTTAATAAAAAACCACATAGATGAGTTCTGGCTGGAAAAAAAATATATTTTAACCTCTTCACGCTGGCCGAATGCAAATGTGCGGCCTCCCAGTGTCTGGGCTTAGACGCAGAGTAGCCGCACATTTGCGTTCTATTAAAAAAAGAACATGTGCTGAGAGCGCACGCCCTGCGCGCTCCCAGCACACATGTCCGGTACTCACGGAAAGATCCAATCTCCTCTTTCGATCGGGACCTTTCTTGATCATTTGACTGCCATGACGGCGTGTTACAGCGGTCACATGACCCTAAACCCTACCCCGCCTCCCAAAACCCTTAAAGGGCTGGGAGGCGCTGGTACCAAGGGGTTAAGCAACAGACAGCATAGATTCATGCTCTAGCATGGATCAACTGTGGGTATAGGATTGTGTACATAGGATTGTATACATTTTTTTTTCTTTTTATTGGTTGAATTAGATGGACTTGTGTCTTTTTTTTTTTTTCCCCCAACCAGACTATGTACAGTATATTATTTGATTATTATATAGGGCATAGTAATTTTTTTTGTTCTGTAGTAAGCACTGCTGTAAGGCTAGGTTCATATACTTGTTCAGTGTGCTTTTAATGTATTTTTTGCACAAGTTCAAGTATGTCTTTGATGCGTTTCCATGCATTTTTTTTTTCTAAGGAGTAGACTGATTGTTAAACCATAAACCCTAACCAAACCACCCCAAAAGCACATGCGCATGCATTTTTCATGTGCTTTCATTGAGGTCTATGGGCTCAAAAACACCCAGGTTGGGAAAAAAAAAAACCCTGCACCTCTTCCAAAAATGCATTGCAGGAAACTACATAAATGTGAACGGAACCCAAATTAAACCATGGTAAATTAATTGTCATGTATTCCTGTGCTTCTGCAAAGGTGCTAAAAAAAATGCAGCCGTGAGCATCTACTTGCAAATTCAAACAGAAGTTGGTTGCTACTACCTAAGCTAACCTAAGTCAAATAAGCTCACCGTGCCTGACTAGCAGTCTCCATCTGCTTATAAATACAAGTCCAATATATACAAAAATCTTCTTTATTGCATAAGGGAATAAAATATTCCATGGCAAACTTACACTAACACGTTTCAGTCTAAACACAGACCTTGTTCATTTTTGTATTCACCTGTTGCAGACGTTTTTGGAATTACAGTTGTGAACATCGCCTAAGGCATTCTAGATCCATTTGCTTCTAGACTCTTCTGCCACCGTATATACATATACACTGCTCAAAAAAGTTTAAAAGGAACACTTTGAAAGAACATCAGATCTTAATGGGGAAAATATGTTGGATATCTATACTGATATAGACTGGGTATTGTGTTAGGGACGTAACGATGCACCATCGTTTGATGGAAGTGAAAATTATCAACCTACAGAGAATTCAAAAACTAAGCTAGTCCATTTTGCTGAAATTTCATTGCAGCAACTCAAAATGGTACTCAGTAGTTTGTATGGCCGCCACATGCTTGTATGCATGCCTGACAATGTCGGGGCATGCTCCTAATGAGACGACGGATGTTGTCCTGGGGTATTTCCTCCCAGATCTGGACCAGGGCATCACTGAGCTCCTGGACAGTCTGAAGTGCAACCTGGTGGTGTCAGATGGACCGAAACATGATATCTCTGAGGTGTTCTATTGGATTTAGGTCAGGCGAGCGTGTGGGGCATTCAATGGTATCAATTCCTTTATCCTCCAGGAAATGCCTGCATACTCTAGTCACGAGGCTGGGCATTATCGTGCAGTAGGGTCTGACAACAAGTCGAAGGATTTCATCTGGATACCTAATGGCAGTCAGGGTGCTATTGTCTAGCCTGTAGAGGTCTGTGCATCCTTCCATGGATATGCCTCCCCAGACCACCAATCCGGTCATGCCAATGTTACAGGCAGCATAACCTTCTCCAGACCCTTTCATGTCTGTCACATGTGCTCAGGGTGAACCTGCTCTCATCTGTGAAAAGCACAGGGCACCAGTGGCGCACCTGCCAATTCTGGTATTCATTGGCAAATGTCAATAGAACTCTATAGTGCCGGGCAGTGAGCACAAGACCCACTAGAGGACCTCAGGCCACCCTCATGAAGTCTGTTTCTGATTGTTTGGTCAGAGACATTCACACCAGTGGCCTGCTGGAGGTCATTTTGTAGGGCTCTGGCAGTGCTCATTCTGTTCCTCCATTCACAAAGGAGCAGATACCGTCCCTGCTGATGGGTTAAAGACCTTCTACGGCCCTGTCCAGCTCTCCTAGAGTAACTGCCTGTCTCCTGGAATATCCTCCATGCTTGAGTCTGTGCTGGAGACACAGCAAACCTTCTGGCACCAGCACATATTGATGTGCCATCTTGGAGTAGTTGGACTGCCTGTGCAACCTCTGTAGGGTCCAGGTATCCCCTCATGCTACCAGTAGTGACACTGTTTTTCACTAGTTTTGCATTTGGCTAGGGTCAGTCAGAAAAGATGAGTAGGGAAAAACATGTCAGTGGCCTCCACCTGTAAAACCATTCCTGTTTTGGGGGTTGTCATATTGTTGCCCATCTAGTGCACCTGTTAATTGGTTTCAGCTGCTTTGGTGTTAATGAAATTAACAACCCACTCTGTTACTTAACTGACCAGATCAATATCTCAGGAGTTTAATTGACTTGATGCTATACTCTGATTAAAAAGCGTTCCTTTAATTTTTTTGAGCAGTGTATATTATTTATAGACAATACGATGTTAGCTGTTTATACAGTAGGTAACTGTTTAGCATACATCTGTCACTAGCCAAATAATGATTATTTTTTCTGTTTTCTCTTCAAGAATGCACCTGTTAAAAAGAAGAGGCCAGCAGTGAAGGAAGAAGATCTGAAAGGGGCGAGGAATAAGCTTGGCCACCAAACTCCTATCAAGTCCAAAACATACCAAGTTATGAAAGAATGTGGTGAGTCTAAGCCCATAGAAGTGTTTACTATCTTGTATTGTACAAAATCATAGAAGAGTTATTTGAAGGGAACGTTAAGGCTCCATGCACACTAGTGTTTTTTTTTTTTAAGTTGATAAAAACTGCTAGCAAGTGTTTTTTTTTTCCTTAGGAGCATTATTAGCATTTTTACAGTACATGTAGTCAATAAAAAAAAAAGCCGCTAGGAACTTTTTAGTAGCATTTAGCATTAAAAGTGGTTTCGTAGAGATTTGCCTCATGATCCTCAATAATGCAGAGTTGCATTGATCCTAAAACATCAGCACCTTTCTGCATCATTACACTGAGTGCAGGGTGCTTCCCACAGGGGGAGGGCCCATGTCTCCCTACATATTGTTCTCAGGATTAACTGAGGGTGCCATCTAACCTATGGGACTTCTAGTGAAAAAAACATTACTGCAGGGAATGGCATCAGAGACCACTCCCAGGGCAAAAAGAAAGAAATCTACATTTTCTCTATTACTATGTGTTCCTATGATCATCCGCTCAAGCCAAAATTGCTGTATTAATTGCAGGGAAGCCCCTGATTCATGCTTAACCACTTCCCGGCCAGCCGTTGCATATAAACGGCTGGACGGTGGCAGTGCAGAGTCGGGTGGCCGTTTATAAACGGCCTCCCCGCACCCTGCTTGTGCGCGCTCCCTCGGAGCGTGCAGATCCGCGATCCGGTGCCCGCTGTGTCCTCCGGACACAGTGAAACACCGATCGTCGGACGGGACCTCTGTACGAGGTCCCGATCATGTGATCACTGATTGGCCAATCAGTGATCACATGCAAAGTAGTAAGCAAGATGTCACTTGTGACATCATTGCTTACTACGTGAAATCTGTGAATGATCAGAGTTCACATGGTACAAGGCTATTCCCAACAGCCTTGTACCATGTGACAAGCTGTGACCAATCACAGCTCACTCAGTACTTTTCAATGAGTGCAAGAATGCACACAGAGAGAAAGAGAAATGATTGCTTTTACATCCTATATGGGTGTAAAAGCAATCAGTGTAAAAAAAAAAAAATAAAATCTTCATCACCCCCCACAAGTAGTACAGTGTCACCATGGTGACACTGTACTGCTAGGGTGACAGTATGTAAAAAAAAATAAATAAAATAAATGTAAAAAAAAGTTTAAAAATAATTTTTGGTTATAAACTAATTTGGATTTTTTTTTGTATTACTAAAAAGATAACGGAATAAATTTTGGCAAAGATTTATGATGAAATATTATTTATTTGCAAAATTGTATAAAAAAACCCACTTCTTTAAAAATTTTTGGACTTTTTCATTTACATAGCAAAAAAATTAAAAATCCCAGCGGTGAATAAATGGTAAAAAATTCATTTGGGTACAGTGTTGCATGACCGCGCAATTGTCATTCCAAGTGTGATAGCGCTGAAAGCTGAAAATTGCCCTGGTCAGGAAGGGGGTAAAACAGTCACTTTAAAAATATCCCCTCAAAAGGCATCAGCCCATAACTAATATCAACTTGTGCTGATATTGGCAAGACACAGATATTCATGTTCATGACTCTTCAGCTACTGGGTTACAGAAGTAAAAACAAATTAATAAAATTTGGGTGAAATGCATACCAGTGCATTCTACTGGCTGCAGACTGAGTCAACTCTACCTATTGGTCCAATTTACTACTTTCTGTGGAAAGGCAAAATCTTCTAAGGCAGTGTTCTCCAAACTACAGCCCTTTCCTTGCCTTTCTCTGGCCCTTAGGGCAGTATTTCTCCCACTAACACCATTGATGGGGTACTATTCCTGCCACTGACACCAATGTTAGGACACTATTCCTTCCACTGACACCACCGATGGGGTACCATTTCTGCAGCGGTTTCCACTTATCAAATTCCAGCCCCCCTAAATGCTGAAGACCTGTAAACTTGCCCTTTGTTCAGAAAGTTTAGAGACCCCTGTTCTAAGGTAATTATAGTATCTGTAAAACCACATTTGGTTTTTATTTTATATTGGGGTATGGCAGGGAAGTTAGTGATTTTTTTTTTTTTACAGGATTATATTACATCCTCTGCCTGTACTGGCAACCACTATCAGAGGGATAGAATGTGATGAGAAAAAGCTACATTTTACAGTTGAATCTGAAGAGGAAATAAGGGAAAATATCCCAATGAGGACTAGAGACACCTGTTGTGGTGAAAACTTTAAGAGGGAATTTCCCTTAATTTTGGAAAGATTTCCTATTACGTCCTGTGGTGTCTAGTACAGAAGGAAAAGAAAAATTTCCCCCCATGGAACGCAGCAAAAATAATACCCAAGAGGGGTTATACCCACCCTCTATTTTACTCAAACCTTTAAAAAAAGGTTTTGCTTTAGATGCACTCTAAAGGCCAAACTTTTTTTTTTTTTTTTTTTTTTACATTTGGATAAAGTGGTGAGACTTTAGATCCAGTGTCAGGTTTTTATCGCTCTAATTGTTTGATCACCAAATGTCAGTGGGACTGAAAATGAGTTTCCACCAGAATAGAAATATAGAAAACATACAGTGGGGACCCAACTGTCTAAGAGGGGATATCCCTTACACTGGAATGATATCCTCACTTCCTGATGAGTCTACAAAACAGGAAGTAAAGTAAGTTATCCTAATAAGATACATTGTTTTAACTACTTTATGCAAAAGGAAAAAGCTTTGTCTTTAGATATACAGTACTTTAGTAAATAAACCCCAAAGGGTCCAGAAATCTGTTAAAGCTGGAGAGTGCAAAATCAGACTCACTTCTGCATAGAAACCAATCAGCTTCCAGGTTTCATTGCCAAAGCTTCATTGAACAAGCTGAGGTTAGAAGCTGATTGGTTTCTATGCAGAAGGGAGTCTGATTTTGCACTCTCCAGCTTTAGTAAATAAACCCCTTTATGTCTTCTAGTATGCATAAGTGTGTATAGCTAGGGACCACAAAACTCTATAACATTGCAGAATATTTATTAAGGTGGTTGTGTGAACTTCTGGCATCAAACCAAGTCCTAGAAGTTGGAATATTTTGTTAAAGTTATAATTTACTTGTACTTAAAAAAAAAAAAAAAGAAGTTTGGCAAAATACAGCCCAAAAAAGAACTATGATTTCTAAAAGTGTCTTTTGTTTCCAGAGCAAGCTGGGGCTACAGCGCCATCCGTGTTTAGTCAAGTTAGGACAGGAGATGAAACGGCCATCGACAAGCCCAAACAAGGACCAGCAAAGAGTGTGTTTGGCTAATGGACATTAATGAAAAGCTTCTTTCACTGTAACCTCCTCCTACTTCTAATTGGAATGGAAGTTTTTCAAGTCTTAAAGAATATTATTTTCTACTTTTTAAAGTTGGAGTTTAACAAGCATATTGCACCCCATAGTTTTATTGGTACCAATCAATCTTGTTGAGTATTAGGAATAGCAGTTGACCTACAAGCATGAATTTAGGTAGGGAAATACCAATTAAAAAAAAATAAATGGGTTAGTTTTTGGAATTTGCAGTACTGGGATTGTAGCTGAAGCCTGAGGTTAGTGATGAAAAGTGGAAGTAAAAGGTAAACAAAGTATTACTAAAGGCAAAAGTTTTTGTTTTTCTTTTTTAGGGGAAATGGATTAGAATACCAGTCAGGTTTTTGTTTTTTTTATTGCTGTCTGTTGACCCATTAGGGAGATTCACCCTCTCTATTTGTCCCATTTACCATTATTGAAAGTAAAAGAAAATTCCAAATTTTGGGTTTTCCCCAGAAAATTGAGAAATTTACAATGGTGACATTAGTTCTGGTGACGCCCAAGGGATTCCTTTTTATTTGTTGGGCTTTCCTCTCCCTTCCTCTGTTGGCTATGGGACAGGAAGTGAATGTGAATCTCCCCAATGGGACAATGATAAAAAAAAAAAAAAAAGTTTTTTGACTCTAGTTCTACTTTAAAACAATCGTTTTATGTCAATGTTCAAGAGAATTGATAGTTATTAGTCCCAATTTGGCTGCATTATATAAAAATGTACTTACCTGATTAAAATGTGTTCAATGTATATTTACTTTCTAAGTGGGTTTTTCTACACGACAATAAAATTATTTTTTTGTTTGTTGTGAAAGTATGCCATTATTCTATCTTCACATATGTCAGACCAATTCCCCCCCCCCCCCATATTTCAGTGGATATATTGTATGTCTGTGCGTATTAGGCCCTACCTTTCAAGTAAATATTCCTAGACAGATTGGTTCAGCCCCACTATATATTCATGTGAAACAGCAACATCCCTTTTAGAATAGGCTTAACTACCTCCCGCCCGCCATATAAGGTAATGACGGGCGCAAGACGGTTCTCTTGTGCTGGGAGGACTTCATATGACGTCCTCCCACTCTGAGAGCGCAGCGCGGCAATCGGTAGTGTGCTGTGTCCCTCAGACACAGCGGATCAACGGAAAGAGCCGAAGATGTCGGCTTGGTCATGTGATCAGCTGTGTCCAATCACAGCTGATCACATATAAAGAAATGCTGATTATCGGCATTTCTCTCCTCCCGAGCGGTCATGCTGACAGCTTGAGAGGAGAGCCAGTAATTGGCATTCCTCAGAGGGGACATGTACACTGATCAGTGTAGCCACAGCAGTGCCCATCAATGCCACATATCAGTGCCTACCAGTACACATCAATGCCCATCAGATCTACCTTTCAGTGTCACCTATCAGTGCCAGTCAATGCTACCAATCAGTGTCACTTAACAGTGCTGCCTTTCAGTGCCACCTATCAGTACCCATCACTGCAGCCTCATTAACACACATCAGTGGAGAAAAATCACTTATTTACAAAATTTTATAACTAAAGCTAAGAAAAAAGTTTTTTTCTTCAAAATGTTGTTTTTGGTTCGTTTAACAAAAAATAAAAAACCCAGAGGTGATTAAACACCACCAAAAGAAAGCTGGATCTGTAAAAAAAAAAATAAAAATTTCATATGGGTACTGTGTTGCATGATCGTGCAATTATCATTCAAAGTGTGAGAGCGCTGAAAGCTGAAAACTAGCCTGGGCAGGAAGGGGGTATAAGTGCCCCGTAGGCAAGTGGCTAAAGTACAATGCACCTATATTTTTTGCCCTTCCCAAATGTGAAGTACTACACCTGCCCCAGATTCCACGCTTGATTCCATAACCACAACCTCCCACAAGGTTTATATCCTTTGCTGAACATCTTTTCTATGCTTGCAAAGTCTGTGTAGTAGATACTCCATACTCGTACAGGACCATCTCTAGTGTGTCGCTCTCTAGGGATCCAGGTAAGTCTGATTATGTAATTGATTTTAATATGCCAAGATGCTGCTGGTAAGATTGGTATCAATACTTGTTCTGCTGTTACTTTTTAAATTCTGTTTTCAGACATCGCATGGTTTTGTAACGGCACGGTTATAACTATCTTGTTTTGGTTTAGGGTCCTAAATATTCCAAATGATCAAGACCTTGTATGGCTATTTCTAAATGTTTTCTAGCCCAACAGACATTCCAATCAGCCCCAAATTGGATGGAATGTAGATGGGAGTAAACAGCTGGAAAAGCAGGCTAGATCTGTGGGAAACCTCAGGTGGAATATTTCTCAGGCCAGACAATTTCTGCTCAGCATGTTCTCTGTAATTACATTATACCAAAATAAACTACTTTACAGAATACACTGGGGAAATCTCTTGACATAGTTCTGAAAAACTCTAAATCAATTTTTGCATGTATTTGTAAATGTACATCATGTGTATATAAATTAAATTTATTATACACACATACACCCAATGTCTCTAAAATGTGTGTTCACATGGGCATATCTAAGCAAATAGCGGCGTATAGGGCCATGTTTTCCCACATGCAGGCAGTCACATGTCAATTGGGATACAGCAGAGTATGGACATGTTAAACAAGATCTGATTTTAACATTCTCAAGCTGGAGGTAAATGGTTCTTCAACAAAACATGCTGAAAATTTCACAAAATGCATTGCAAAAACTTGCTAACAGCTTGGTGTTCACACTGGTCTTACACACGTGAACTAAGCTTAAAATGTTCCTAAACCCAGGACCCTGCATTCACTATATCTGGTTTTTCCACAGAACATGAAAGTGCAATTATTTTAGTAAATATAAACTGATAAATACCTTTTCTCATCAGCAGTTAAATCAGTCTTGTGACTTCTATCGGTGTTCAGCAGAGCTCTGGTTAAAGGTTGTAGGAGCAGTTTCTGCTCTAGGAGGATGTAAAACCCCTGACCTCTGGACAGTGCTGATCACATGCACGCTCCAAAGGAAAAAAAAAAAAACCCTCTAGCAAAAACACACTAAATGGAGCATGTGCAGAATGGCTATGGTTCAGTCTGTCTTTTCAGGAGATAAGACATGCACAGTTGAACAAGAGGAGGAGCAGTCAGGATCAATCAGCCTTTTTACATAATGCAGAGGATTAACCCATTAGGTTCCACAGTGAGTATAACAAGCATGCTTTACTGCATATACAGACTGATTTTACGGTTTTTGGGTTTAGTAACACTAAGTCACATGATCTCATACTACAGTATAGCCTAGGCATCCCCCACCCTAATCTACAAAGGCCATACTTGAAAACACAAAATGTTTCAATGAGCTGCAACTCACCAATTTACTAAAAGCAAGCTTTTATCTGCAGCAACAGCTAGAACAAGCAGGCATACAAACACTAAGGAGACAAATTTACACCTGAAAATTAAATTTGTTTAACCCATCAAGAGCAAATGTACCCAAAAAGATAAATAGTCTTTCTCCTCAGCATCAAAACCGACTCGCAAGAGAGGACCATATAAGATGATAAACACCACTGTGAAGTCCTGGGGTCTAAACAATGAAACCTTCAAATCGTGCCAATAGCCTTTTTAGATCTTGACCAATCCTTGTGTGCGATTCACATTTGGTTATACTTACATACTGTAACAAATGTGACATATTACTCTATTGGATCTAAAGTATGTAACCCAATATCAAACACCCTGGTTTTGTTGAAGTTGGGATATTTCCCCCCCCCCCCCCCCTCACATCTGCACATACTATACAATGTATCCCTGCTCAACTACATATCCTTTTGTAGTAGGAATAAAACTTTGATGTCAAAGTTTAAATGTGAAATGTAACATTTTTAACTTCTTGGCAGTTAAAGGCTACGCACAAACGATTTCAGCAACCATAAATTTCAAGTAAGAGAATATAGGTTTAAGTAGTCTTTGTGATCTCTTCCAAAGTGATCTAAAAAGAGTGATTAAATCGTACAAAAAACAGTCAGAGACTCATTTTGGGCAGCTTTCTGAGCCAGTTTTTCTCTACTTTGGTTAAGAGCTTTAAATTTATTGTCTTGGCAATCAATGTAGCTACCTTCTGTTAGAATTTGTGCGGTATATCCTCAGATTCATAAAGATCTCTCTTTCACACTGGGAACAATCTCTCCAAATATTGAGAAACAGTCCCTTTGATGGTGGCAAAGAATGATGGCTGGTGGCATGGAGCAGGGTATTTTTTGCCATTGGTTTTGAAATAGACACCTGTGCATCCTGTTCCAATATTCATATCTAAGAAATATCATTAGCATCAGCAGTAAATGCCATAATTAAGGTTTCTAGGTGTTGGAGTGCATCTCCTGCATGAATGTTCTTTAACTGTTCTTTGGTGTGTCCTTCCAGACCACTTACACATCATCAAGGCAGCGCACCAGAGGGCAACATGCAGCTTTAACTTCCACGTGCCAAAGAACAAAGCACACACACTGCCCCCATGAATGTGTCACATATCTGATAGTAATAGTTACCATCTCATTGGAGAATAAGCTGACTGCAAACTTAACAGTCAGACACACACACACACACACGCACACCCCCCCCCCCCCCCCCCCCCCTTACAAACCTAGATTTAGTCAGTCATTCTCCTTTTCTTCCAATTTACATGCCACAAGTTTACCTTCATCTTTACCTCTCTTTCTGCCTTGCCCTAGCATCCCTTTAATAGTGTTTGCCAGGGGGGCAATATAGATTATATAGATGGTAAATTCATTTCACCTTTACAAGTTAGGGAAAAGGACAACCCTTTGTAAAACTCAATTGTATGTTAAGATTTTTTGCATTAATATTGAAACTGAAAAAGGGCAATTTTGTTGTTTTTGCTTTTGGTGCACCTTAAAATTTCAGGGGCAAATTCAATATTTTCTTTTGTTTTTCCCCCCTCCCCATTTTAGGATGGGGATCTATACATTTTATTCTGAATGCATAGCATACAAGAGGTCTTGTATGTTTGTGAAGGTTCTCATTTGCCCATGGTCATGGTATATCTAGCAGCAGTTAAGACATTCAACTGGACTTGTTCTGTAGTGCCAGTTGATTAAAAATGATGCTGTTTACTAGAAGTAATTAGTCAAGAAAGTTATAACATTGATTTTTTTTTTTTTTTTACTGATCCATGTGTTAACTTAGCTAAAGTCTCTAATAATATTAAACCCAATACACAGGTAGGCTTGTTGTGTCCTAGCTCTGTCTACTATGCTTAGATATTGCCCACACATGAATGCCACCAACAGGACCTTTGACAAATGGATATGCCATGGAGGATAAAAAAATACACGTGACAAGCGAGAAATGTTTGGTCTGTGTATGATCTTTATTTCATGATAGGTCTTCCTAAAAGGTCCAAAAGGCAGATGAAGCATACTGAAGTGGAAATTGCTCAAATTCACCCACAAACTCAGCTCTCTTCCTCTGTAATGAGAAAGAAAGGTTAGAACTCTTCTGTTACACAAGTTATTGCGTTGACATATTCTATGAAGTATCTACATATACATAGTATATTTGCTTTATATGAATATATATACACACACACACACACAAAACCCTCTACATAGTATATATACTTGCATGGCCAGTTGACCATTCTCTGAGCTGTTTAAGCTGCAGCCTCCCAAGCAAATTTTTAAACAAATGAAAGTGCAACCGAGGTACTGAAACTACCTACAAAAAGTCCAAAAACAGTGTTTTGTACTTACTGTAAAACGTTTTTTGGGGAGTTCATTGAGAGACACAGGATTCAGAGACATTTGGGTTATACTGCCCCTTACAGAAGGATTTCTACACTGGCAAACAATAACCATCTGGTAAAGACCCTGCCACTCGCAGAAAGTCTGTTTTATAATAATGCAGAGCCACAAAAATGACCATACTTACAAAAGAGAGGGGCCTGTGTCCTTCAATTAAGAAAAGGATTTAACAGAGAATACAAAACTCCTATTTAATTTGATCAAGGGAAACAGGATTCAGAGACATTTGGCCCGTCCAAAAGCAGTCCAACTGAGGGGTAGACAACACATTAAATACCATCAGACCCATGAAAATTAACTGCAACTGCCTGCAACCCAATGGAGCTGCCTGAAGAACCTAATGTCTAAAAGCTGGCATCAGATGAGGCCTGACCATTCATCCAGTAAAACTTGGAGAACGTGTTAACCAAACGTTTAGAGTTTAAACTGTCCTGTCACATTGGTGGTCAAGACATGTGCCGACTGCTCCCTCAACAGGAATGTGTCAAGATATCCCAAAATGGAGAGGCCCTTGGAATGTAATGAGGCAAGAACAGGGGCTATAACCTTGGTGATCGCACAGGGTGTGGAAGAAAGATCGAATGACAGGGATGCTAGGTTTGGGAGGGATTATACCAGGCTGGTCACTGTTTTAATGTCTGCCAACATCTAAATCCCAGTGTAGGCAGCAGTATAACCCATAAGTCTAAGAATCTTGTTACCCTGAACAAAACAGAAAAATATTCAGTACAGCTTAGACCTTCAAAGTATTTTCACAAGAATCCTGATTTTAATAAACATGTTAAAATGTTCATACTTCACAGTACTCACCTTCTACTTCCTCCTCCTCTTCCTCATCTTCATCATCATCATCCTCATCTGAACTGAAAGTACCATCAGGCAGGCTGTATATCCTAATAACTTGCTGTAAATGGGAGAAAAAAAAAATATAAAGTTCCCCACCCTATGTGAAAATGCACCTAATAATGTAGTTCATATAGCTAAATAAATACATTACATATTTTTTCTTATCATTTGTGTTATGCTAATGCTTCTTTTCTCCTGCTCAGGCTGCCTTTTAAGTAATGGATATGATCGATGGCTGGCTTCTTCCACATTTTCTGTGCCGGCCCTCGAATGACATCAACACTAGCTAGATCAAGTGCTGTATGAAATCTGGCGCTGTCTGTTTATACCTCGCCAGGGCTATTCAAGTTAGTGTATCCTTTGAAAGACTTATTGTACAAAAAATAAAAAAAACTTTTTAAAAAGGGAGGGATATACTGTATTAAGACTGTATAAACAGCTAGATTTAGTCTAAGCCAGCGTTTCTCAACCTTTTTTCAGTTGAGGCACCCTCTAAAATTATGGACAGTCCTGAGGCACCCTTTAGAATTATGGACAGTCTTGAGGCACCCCATTTTAAAATGTAAAAAAACTATTCTAATAATTGTATATAATGCAGCAACAGACACATGTAAGGACACCCAACGTTAGAGGCGATTTATTCTTCCAAAGCAAATACACTTTTGTACATTGGTACCGACTAGTATTCCAGTATTTCTCTCAGTTTTTCTCCATCATTCAGCTAATATGACTCCAGCACTGACAAAGATTTGGGGGGGGGGGGATGCTGGGCAGGCTGACATTCTCCTTATCAACTGATGAAGTCATTGGCTAGCTAGACGCTGGCGGCTAGAAGGTGGTAATGTTGCACAATGAAAACCTCTGGCTTTGTGTAACTAAAGGCAGGCTTCTTCCATCCTCTGGCTTGTATACAAGTTTTTGGGCAATTTTTAAACAATTTTGCCAAGGCACCCCTGAAGAAACCTTAAAGCACCCCGGTTGAAAGGCTGGTCTAAGCATCTTAGCTTCAAATGTCCTCTAAATTACTGGGTACGTTTTTACATAAAATGAAATGTAAAATCTGTTATAAGCAACTTCAATTTTAAACAGATCTCTCCTCCAGTTCTTATGAATCAGCTGTACTGTAATACTGGCAATTGTAAGCCCAGCAAAACACATCTCTAAAACAGAACTCCAATATTTAATTCTGAAAACAAACGTTAGCCCTTAGAGCACTTTCGCCTGAAACACCACCTTGCTACATTTCTTACCATATGCAGTTATATTACTGCTACTAAAAACAGACCAGTAATCACTCAACCGTGCTAAATGATCATAGATTTAAACATCAGCCCCAACATGTTTGTAACGGGATTAGCAAAACCAAGCAGCATAGGCAAAATAATACAGCAGTCGTTATGCTAGAATCTTTACTTGCCTTGTTGGGGTCCTTCAGGATGAGATATTTGCCTTCATCAAGCTTCATGCAAATGTCCACCACACACCGTAAAATACCCCAGGCATTCTCCATACTTAAGTTAATCTGGTTGGCAAACTCATTGGGCTTGAATTGCTGAGTACCAAGGATAACATGACGAGAGGAATCCTTGACATGATAACGGGACACATACCTAGGATAGGGAAAAAAACCGACATGTTTATCTGCCAGTCTGACAGATTCAGAGAACCTGAGGAAAAGAAATTTACAGCAGCTAGCAACCAGATCCGAGCTTATTATTACTGCATGTTAGATATAAAAGCTAACCACTTGCTTCTTACAATTTTATAAATAAGACATGGTGCTAGAAGATCAGTATAAATGCATATACATACCCCAGTTTAAGGTATTCTGATCCTGCCAGCAGAGCACAGCAAGTCCACCTTGCAAGCTTGTAGCTGTTATTCTTCAGCTCTGTGGCAATCACAGCCCCTCTTTGGGAGTCCAGCTTCTGCCTCCAGTCTACACCATTACAATACTAGGTATATTAGGGAAGTAAAAAAAAAAAAAAAAAAAAAAAAAAAATAATTTAGAGATAAGATATTGCTCTCAACAACTGCAATGTCATTGATGTCATAAATCACGGATTTCTCACAGCTGTCACAAACAAAAAGTTTCAAATGTGTCTTTCCTTACCCTAGAGTCCCACTCATTCAAGGTCTTTATATTCACAAATGACACTTCTCCATTTGCACCGGTCATCACTCCATCGTGTTCACAGCGCACCACTAGGTCAATATCATCTCCAAGTTTCCAGCGTCGATACCTGTTTAGATAAACAAAATTTAGTTAATAAGTCAGTTTCTTGCAGAACAAACTATGCATTAAAAAGCTGCTTTTTTTTTGCAGAATGACAAAACCAAGATCCAGAGCCAGTTATGATCCACCAGAGAATGAAACATGATGCCTCTGTTCTTAGATGTGCAGGCCTTGGCCCTTTATATTCTCAAGCAAATTTTAAAGGGTCTGGGTTTATTTGTGGCCACAAAAATGTTATCAGCAAGGAGAAAGTGTGCAAGATTAATTCTGAATATATTTAATTATATATAAAATATGAACACATATAGATTAATATCTGCTATCAAAAATGCCTCGTTTACACTACTGCGATTTCAGATGCAACTTGGGCTGCACCGAATCGCATGATAATGGAAAACACATTGTTTCACACGGTGCATGTTCAAATCAATGCAGTGCAGCTGCGATGAGACTTTGGGGGAAGGGTCCTGTGCTACTTTGGTGTGATGAAGTGCGATTATGTGGATCTAAACCTTGTTAAAGTGTTACTAAACCCAGGACCCTGCATTCACTATATCTGGTCTACCACAGTACACAACATGGAAATGCAATAATTTTAGTAAATATAAACTGCTTTTCTCATCACAGTTGGAGCAGTCTTGTGACTGCTATCAGTGTCCAGCGGAGCACTGGTTACAGCTTCTTGTAGGAGGAGTATTGATTCTCCTGCAGGACTCCTGGCTCTCTGTATTGACAGTGCTGATTGGCCCTGTGCTGAACACAACTCTCTAGCAATACACCAAACTGACTGAGCATGTACAGCTTGTCCCTTAGGCTCTGTTCTATCAGATGATTTGGGGGCTGTGGAAGAAGGGGAGGATCAGAGAACACAGGATCAAACATTCTTTTTACAAAATGTGGAGGATTGACCCCTTAGGTTCCACAGTGAGTATAACAAGCATGCTTTACTGCATATACAGACTGATTTTACTGTTGTGGGTTTAGTAACACTTTAAAAAGGGGGTCTTCAGATTCCGATAAGCTACCCCCAGAACCACCAGGCTGGGGTTGTGAGGAAGAGGCTCTTGGCCTCCAGGATAAGGGTCTGGTATGGATATTAGAGCGTGTGCGTATGGCTCAACGTTAAGACGGCTCCCTTAACAAGCACAGACTCATACTTGCTGGCCGACAGCAGGGATGAGTCGCAGTAGTAAAAGCTCATTAAAGAACGTATTGAAATGCACCAAGTAGTACTGAACCTATACTACAAAAAAGGAAAAAAAACAACAACAAAGAATCACATTGGAAATGTTATCAAAATCATACTGCACTAGGGTCAACCTAGCCCACGTGTACCAACTATCATATCAAAAGACTTCTGGCAGTGGTTGGGACTCACAGAATACACTTTTTTAAAGTTATTTATATAGGTGTAGACACCCCCCCACATTGACACCACTAAGGCTTGGCAACAAAATACTATGGCAAGGAGAGCTAACTGTGGGACAGAGAGGGGACGTGCCTGCTTTATGCATACCCTGACGTCTTGCTATTATGGAAGGAGTAGGAGGATCAAGTAAGAGGTACAATCAGGCAATTTATGGTGATTACTCAAGCTTGTGTTCATCCTTGTGTGCTGCAGACACAGGTTTACTTTCAAAAACAATATTTAGCATTTTTGACTTAGTCTTAAACTCTGAGATAACATAGCTGGAGGTCCAGGTGTTTCGGTGTTGGGGGCAAAGAGTCACGGATGAGATTCAAACCTACCTATAACCTGTGTGTGTGAATAGCAATACAATAAGTGCAAAAAAAAAAAAAAAAAAAGCTGCTATGCTGCTGGATTGTATTAGTAGCTTGCTGAATGCTTTAACTTCTTGTCTGGAACTGCAAACGCCAAGGAAAAGCAGTTTGTCATTCATGTGTGTCTCTCCCTATCAGTTGAAAAGTAAGTATTTAAGTCTAGTAAGCATATATTCCATTAAAGCATATGAAGTTTTTTACCTCCTAGCACATACATACATATTCTTACTTTCTAGGAAATGAGGAAAAAGGGAATCACTAACCTGTAAGCTACAGATGCCACCTCATTTTTATCCGCATCATCCTCCATAAAGGGGTTGGGATTGGGGAATTTGTACTTTTCCTTGCCCTGTTGGATGAATTGTATATATAGTCAGAATGTTGGTCTTTTTGAGCAAGCCAATAAAACAGCCATTTGAGCTCACCACTTCACTCACCATCTGCAAACACTGCTGGGAGAAGTTGTGGTTGATATATGTTGCTTCCATGGCTAAATTTCTTGGCGAGTTCAGGGAATTCACATCATCTTGAGGAGGCTCATTGGCTGTTTCACTGACTGTCAGAAGATCTATACAGGAACATTAGACAGTTGTTATGACAAAAGGGACACCATTCAAACGTACTGAAATCCAGTGAGCACAGGGTGAGGTAAAACAATCCACTACAAAAGTGGAATAGCAGTCTCTGTAACCCCTGATGGAAGCAGACTCCACAACCTACAAGGTTAAATGCTAGTTCCAGGATAACAAAGATGAACCCAAGTCAATGCCTTGGAACCATTACACAGTGGACAAAATTAAATAGTCATAAATGGAGACATACTGGTATTGATGTATATCCTCATAGAATCAAACGGCAGTATCATTTAATACAGTATTCTTAATCTTAAAAGTTATATTTTTACCAGTTAGAGATCCATTAAATGCACTTTTAGGATACTGAAATGGCATCTGAATCAGTCAATTTCAGTCCTCAAAACCATTGCAGAGAAGTACTCCAACTGAGAAAGATGGGACATTGACCAGGGCAGTTACCTTTAATGATTCACATTTAACCACCTTCCATCCGGCCGTTGTATATAAACGGCCGGAAGGGAGCAGTGCAGAGTCAGGTGACCGTTTACAAACTGCCTCCCCGCCCCCTGCTTGTGCGCGCTCCCTGGGAGCGCGCGCAGCACCGCGATCCGGTGCCCACTGTGTCAGAACACGGATCAGACGGAACCTCTCTGCGAGGTCCCAATCATGTGATAACTGATTGGCCAATCAGTGATCACATGCAGAGTAGTAAGCAAGATGTCACTTCTGACATCATTGCTTACTACGTGTGAAATCTGTGAATGATCACAGAGGTCACATGGTACAAGGCTATTCACAACAGCCTTGTACCATGTGACAAATCACAGCTCACACAGTAGTTCTCAATGGATGCAAGAATGCAGCCAGAAAGGAGAAATTATTGCTTTTACAGCCTTTATGGGTGTAAAAGCAATCAGCGTAAAAAAAAAAAAAAAAATCTTCATCACCCCCCACAAGTAGTACAGTGTCTGCTAGAGTGACAGTACATTAAAAAACAAAACACACAAAAAAAAAAAATTAAAAAAAAATGTTTAAAAATTCAAATTTTTGGTTATAAACGAATTTGGGTTATTTTTTATTTATTTTACTAAAAAGATAACGGAATAAATTTTGCCAAGATTTATGATGAAATATTATTTATTTGCAAAATTTTATAAGAAAAACATTTTTTTTCAAAATTTTTGGACTTTTCATTTACATAGCAAAAAAAATTAAAATCCCAGTGGTGAATAAATACCACCAAAATAAAGCTTTATCGGTCTCAAAAAAATGCTAAAAAATTCATATGGGTAAAGTGTTGCATGACCGTGCAATTGTCATTCAAATTGTGATTGCGCTGAAAGCTGAAAATTGGCCTGGACAGGAAGGGGGTGAAAGTGTCCGGACATGAAGTGGTTAATGTCCTTGGAGCTGCAGGGAAAGCTTAAAAATTTATATGAAGTCCCTACAACATACAGCGTGTTCTTTAACCACTTGAGCTCCAGAGGATTTACCCCCCTTAATGACCAGGCCTTTTTTTTTTTTTGCGCTGCACTAATTCAAATGATAATTGCGCGGTCATGCAATGCTGTACCCAAATGAAATTTACGTCCTTTTTTTCCCCACACAAATAGAGCTTTCTTTTGGTGGTATTTTATCACCTGTGCGCTTTTTATTTTTTGACCTATAAACAAAAAAACCACGAAAATTTTGAAAAAAAAAAAAAACAATATTTTCTACTTTCAGCTATAAAAAATATATCGTAAACTCAAAGTTAGTCATAAATTTAAGCCAAAATGTATTCTGCTACATGTTTTTGGTAAAAAAAATCCCAATAAGTGTATATTGATTGCTTTGTGTGAAAGTTATAGCGTCTACAAACTATGGTATAGATACTGTAATTTATGCCTTTTTTTGCTATACAGCGCTGCACTAATTCAAATGATAATTGCGCGGTCATGCAATGCTGCACCCAAACAAAATTTACGTCCTTTTTTTCACACAAATAGAGCTTTCTTTTGGTGGTATTTGATTACCTGTGCACTTTTTATTTTTTGCACTATAATCAACAAAAAACACGAAAATTTGGAAAAAAAAAAACATATATTTTCTACTTTCAGCTATAAAAAATATATTGTAAACTCAAAGTCAGTCATAAATTTAAGCCAAAATGTATTCTGCTACATGTTTTTGGTAAAAAAAAAATCCTGTGCATTAGCGGGCAAACTGGCGCTATCTAGGAGGGGCGCTAACACTATCGGAAGTCACCAGTGACACTAATACAGTGATCAGTAAAAATCTGTTCACTGTAATCAATGACACTGGTGACAGGGCAGTGAAGGGGTCAACTCGGGGGGGGGGGGTTGGGGGCGATCAAAGGGTTAGACGGGATTATTGGTGTATTAGCAGGCAATCTAGCGCTATCTGGGAGGGGCGCTAACACTATCAGAAGTCGCCAGCGACACTGATACAGTGATCAGTAAAAATCTGTTCACTGTAATCAATGACACTGGTGACAGGGCAGTGAAGGGGTTAACGGGGGGGCGCGATCAAGGGGTTAAACGGGATTACTGGTGTACTGGCGGGCAAACTGGCGCTATCTGGGAGGGGCGCTAACACTATCGGAAGTCGCCAGCGACACTGATACAGTGATCAGTAAAAATCGGTTCACTGATCAGTGACACTGGTGACAGGGCAGTGAAGGGGTTAACTGGGGGGGGCGCGATCAAGGGGTTAAACGGAATTACTGGTGTACTGGCGGGCAAACTGGCGCTATCTGGGAGGGGCGCTAACACTATCGGAAGTCGCCAGCGACACGGATACAGTGATCAGTAAAAATTGGTTCATTGATCAGTGACACTGGTGACAGGGCAGTGAAGGGGTTAACTGGGGGGGGGCGCGATCAAGGGGTTAAACGGGATTACTGGTGTACTGGCGGGTAATCTGGCGCTATCTGGGAGGGGCGCTAACACTAAAAAAAAAAAAAAAAAAAAAAAAAAAAGTGTGCCAAGGGTTATAACCCTTCCTTACGCTATCCAAACTGAAAAAAAGTTTGGCCTGTAGTTATACTTTAACCAAAAATAGGACCAGATAAAAAGTTCACTGGAAGTAAATGTTGCTTTTGGTGCAACATTATGATCTTAATTGCTTTTTTTTGGTATTTATTTTTTTCCATTACTTCTCTACATTTATCTTTTAGGTAATAAGACGCATTACCCACCTGATACAAAAATTTCCATTTTCCGGAGCAAAGACAGCCAACACACAAACATTGTCACCTGCTAGTAAAAGTGTCCGACTGACTCTTATGGATTGCCCACCAGCACTCCATTGTAATCAGACTGAGCAGAGCCAAATATAATGGGACACTGTGCTCTAAAACTTTTTGTCATCGATTAAAGACTAGAACTTTCCTTTTTAACAATGCTACAGAAGGCTCCAGGGGGTTTCCAGCCACTATTTTCTGTTTTGCACAGCATAGGGAATGGTGGTCTAAGGTCCTAACTTTATCAAGACCAATGCAGGTCCCATAGCCCTACATTTGATGGGAGCATGATGAGGGACAGTTCAATGCCAGAGCACGGCAGTGCCTTGAGGAGAGGATCAGGCAAGCAAAACTGCTTTTTATATCCCCTTGACCAGGGGCAGGTAAAACGTCAACCCTCCAGCTCTTAAGCAACTACAAGTCCCATGATGCATTCCAAGACTCGCACAAGTATGACACGAAGAGGCATGCTGGGACTTAAATTTACAACAGCTAAAAGGACCAAAGTTTGCCTACACCTGCCCTAAGACTAAACCAGCAGTTGACCCCTGCGGGGAGTTTAGCTTTAAATAAAGTCTAACAGACTTTTATTGCAATCACCCAGGAAAAAGTCCTAAATACTTACCAAAGTCTGAGTTGTCTCTCTTGTCAAAGAATATTTTGGATCCTACCCTTTGAACCACAATGTCCCAAGAATTGACAGATCGAGTGCAGCACATAAGGGTGGCCAGAATAGCATCTGTTGCAAAGACATTTCCTTGTGTTTTAGCCAGCTGCAGACAGACAAGAACATCATCACATTATAACTCATCTATTAGCCATATATAAAAACTGTCAGTAATTAAATTTGGATGGTTTACAACCATTTCCAAGTTTAGAATTTATACTCTCAGAATCACCTTTCGGATAATGGGGTCATCTGTGGTAGTTACAGTGTGGAAGATCCTTTTAATACTCTTTAAGGGTCTTTCACTCCTTGTGGTGATCCGATCAAAGGCTTTGTCATAATATTCCAGGCCACCACAGCACTCTCTGGAATAGGAAAGAAAAGTAATGCTTAAGTATTTCCAACACTGCAAAATATTTTATATTGAGATGCAAAATGACAGTTTACAAACAAAAATAATTTAACAAATACCAAAAATTTAGCTTAATGTGCTTATAAATCTGAATGAAATGAACAAAGCATACCCCTCATAGCCTCAATTAAGTATCATTTTTTGTGTGCCGTTTTGTTCCTCTGCTATCAGTATGAGTCAATTCTGACAAGTTTTCCTGACACCAAGAAAAAAAAAAAAAAAAAAAAAAGGGGGTGACAGAGGAGGGACCTACAACAGATTGACAGCCTCAGCTCTGTTCCTGTGAGCTGTGTGGACGGGAGTGCGTCTCTTCTCTCCAATCAGCTCACTGAGCTCTGCAGAGTGTAATTTCAGCTCTCACCTCCCTTTTTCTGAACTCTCAGACAAGCTTTACAAATTCTGACTTTGAACAGATGTAGAGAAGAGAAAACTGCAGATAAACAGGTATATGTAACTTATACAGGAGGATGTGTTCATCTCTGTACATCACCTGAGGCCAGTCACTACACTGAGTAAATGTAAGGGTTTACAACCACTTTAAAGCCCCCCCCCCATACAAAGAGTAAAGGCTCGATATGTCTAGGGGATTGTATTACTGGCTCTATCACTTACCCAATTCCTCACTCCAGCACTCCCCTCCTCTACCTAAAGCTCAAGAATTTTACACTGTATTGTATGCTGAGGAAGCTGGAGTGCAGCTGGTTGCAGCATTGGAGGGAGCCTGCCGGAGCGAAGAATAAGGTATGTTTTCCTTAACCTCCCTGGCGGTCTGATTATTTTCGATTATTGGTGCTGAAAGTGGTACCATTTTTTTGCATGGAAATATGTAATTTTTTTATTGTAGGCTGTAATTTTTAGGAATAACTCACTGAAATCTGTCCGAACAAGAGTCTAGTAAACATTCCGGATATGATAAAACTTTAAACACGAAATCATAAATTATAATTTAATAAATAATCATAAAAAATAATAATATTAAATTTAATTCAATAACATAATCAAACCAAAAACACTGAAATTTGAAATACAGAGGCAAATTCGCACATCGCTGAGCAAAGTCGCAAAATCGTTTTCAGTGTCTGATGACGAATTTCCCCACAAATCATCACTCAATTCTGCAAGTGGTTCTGATTTGCTATCACTGTTCTCTAGCCGGTCTAAAACCGCTTTTGACATAAAGGGACGCTTTTTGGACGCCATGGACATTTCTAAGTTTCCAGGCAGAAAGAACAGTCAAAATGCAGGCAGGGCACAGGACAAAGCAGTAGGGACAAAATGTATGTGAAATGGTTTAATACAGGAATGTTTTACTATAGAATAATCATTTAAAAAAAATGAAATTTTTAAAAAATTTCAAATTTGCCGCCGGTTCCGGCGCACGTACGTCCCGACGTCACAGGGACCGGAACACGGAAGCCGGATGTCGGCATGGGCCGGAGGAGATGGCTGGGGACGCTGCACATCGCGGGAGCAAAGGACAAGGTAAGCGCTGCAGGGACTCCTTGAGCAAAGCCGCATGGTAACCTCGGGGTTACCGCTCTTGGTACTGAAATTTTACCCCGAGCAACACTCGGGAATACCGCCAGGGAGGTTAATCAAGTCTTCTTTAATTATAGAAAGCTTCCGGAGTCAGTCCACTCAACATGGGAGAGTGAAATCCAAGAAAGAAACAGGGGACAACTCTCAGATAAAGGGAACTGCTGAAACCATATCCACAGAAAGGCCAGCAACCCTGAGAGATAGGCAGGCAACCACAATTACCCACTCAAATAGAAAAACAAAACAAAAAAAAAAAAAAAAAACAGGAGTGATGTGTTCACCTGGAAGGTCAGAAACACAGCAACAACTGAGGATGATGGGGTAGGAGGGGCCTTTTAATGGTTTCTGGTATGGTGTTTTTTGTAGAGGGTGGAGCTGGTATTTCTCAAGTAGCTGTCCCTCGAGAAGCTTTGTGAAAGAAAATTTCCCTCAATCTTCCAAGTCTAAAGAGCGTGCCTCAATTGTAGATGGGGAATCTATAAATTCAGGCTAGTAAAGTTTAGTTTCTCCTATACTCTAATCATAACAGGGATGCATCTGCATTTTACAGCAGGAAAAATGTGGCATGCAGAGGATACAGCCCTGTTTGTAAAATCCAGCCATTCTCAAACTGCAGACAAAAAGGAGTAGGGTCTACTTGCACTCCCTACACTCTGGGAATGTAAAGATGCATAAAAGACAAAGTCAGAGCATGCTGCAGCAAAGTATTTAACATACTACTACTATTACTTCACATATTTGCCACTACTAGAGGTACCTAGTGCAGTGTTACATCATGTCTTTGGTCATTCAATTACCACTAAATATCCAGTGATGGTGGATAAAAGGATTCTTTAGGATAATAAAACAAGCTGTATTTTTCATCATTCATCCCTGCCCCTTTTTTAGTTTTTTTTAAACAAAACCAAGAGAATGTGTGAACACTGGAAATATATGGGGCCACATGTAAGGCCCTATATTTGTATCAGGTTACTGGATAAGTAAGCCAAACCAAATTTTAGGGTTCTGCTGTAAACTTTGCCTCCAGAATAAAATATTTGAATTAAAGCATACATATTAACAGAACGTCTATTCTGGCTATTTTAACTGCATTTTTGATCCACTCCAATTAGTAGTAACAATAAAAAAAAACAAAAAAAAAAACATATGTTAGTGCAACTCACATGTCCGCCGGATCAGAAACCTCCATATAACGCATTTTCATCAGGCGGGGAAAATCCATCTCTTCTTTTACTTCCCAGTCACTGCGCACCTCCACGGAGGAGTCTCTTGGTTTTAGTTGTGCCTACAAGCAAAAAGGAAAGAAAGAAAAAAAAAAAAAAAAAAAAAAAAGTTATTTAGCACCTGAACGTAAAAAAAAAAAAAGAAAAAATAATTAAAAATGTCATAATGGTTACCTGAGATTTTTGGTCCCACTTTTGACGTACACCAAATTGTTTCTGGAATTTTTTCTGCAGTCTAAGACGATCCCTGAGATGACATGAATGAAGTGTTATGGCTAAAATTGTTGCTCAACACAACCCAATCCTTTCAATTTTGCTACCATTTTCACTTACCGCTCCTTTTGCTTGGCACTTTTGGGTAATGTCTGCATGTTGAATTGGAGCATATTCCTTCTGTCTTTATCTCGCCGCAAATTTCTCTGTAAACACAAGGTGGGAATATTACCTTCTAGACAAATGTTAACTCTTGTCGCCCCAGCATCCCTTTAAATAGTTCTGAATACACGGGGGCGATCGGCAATCATGTGACCACTGTCAAAATTATTAATGATTGGAAGCTGGCCCTGTCAGCTACTGATTTTTAGTTCAAACTGAGAACTTTGACAACTCAGTCTTTGTGCTGGGCGCACACTCTCAACAGCCCAGCGACATATGTGCGGCATGTGGGTGTTTAAAGCCCACAATTTGCCGCCGCACATGTATTAGGCGATCAAAAAAAGGGTTAAAGTTGAAAGTGATAGCCTAGGTTTGCCACACAAATCCATTAAGAGAAAACTCCAACCTGTCACATAACAGCATAGTTTGAAAATGGTTAGCATCGGGAGGGACATGAAGGTAGCAGTTTAGCTTCATATCAGTGAAGCCAGGGAAAAATAAAGGCTGATCCAAATCACCCCATTCTAAATCACTGTGCATTAGAACGCACAAACATTTTTTGAGCATTGAAAAAAGCTTTTGCAGTACAGTAGAAGACAGTACGACATACCGCGATACTCTGAATTCTGTGCCTTGTTTTATGTTCTATACTCCATACTGCTGTTAAACACCGTATGGTTATGAGCATTTTTAAAAAGTTTTCAAGTATACTATAGAGTTTTGGGATATTTAAAAACAGGTGTAAAATGTCTGCAATGAGCATTTTACAACCAAAACCAAAAGGATTTACTTTGTACTGTTTTCCACTGTACTACAAACATTTTTCTTAATAAAGATATTTAAAAAAGAAGTGTACTTGTTCTTTAAAACACTTACATACGAGGTGTGTCCAGAAATAATGAGAATGATATTTAAAAAATGTCACAATTGAACATTGTCTCCGTCAAAGTATGCACCTAGTGAGTGTACACAATGCTTGCAGCGATTTTTCCATTCTTCAAAGCATTCCTGGAAATCTTCAAGTGGGATGGTGTTCAGAGCCTGAATAGGGGCTCTTTGGACGTTGTCCACACAACCAAAATGGTGTCCTTTCAAACCCTTCTTCATTTTTGGGAATATGAAGTCTTAGGAGCCAAGTCGGGGCTTTAGGGTGGATGGGAAAACACGATGCGTTTTTCAGCCAACAACAATGACCATTGATTTGACTTTTCATTTGCTCATTCAGGCTTTCTTGGGACAAGTGGATGTGGGTGTGTGCGTTTCCGAATTTTGTTTCTTTGTCTCTAGCTTTTACTCAAAACACCCAGGATTCATTTCCTGTGAACACTCGATTAAAAAAAAAAAAAAATCAGGATCTTTTTCCAAACGGCCCAACAGGTGTTGGCAAACGAGTTGATGGTCTTCCTTCTGATCAGGTGACTTTGGAGCAAGTTTCGCACACACTTTTCTCATGTTCAAATCCTGAGCCACGATTTCATGAACAATTGACTTGGCAGTTCCCGTGTCTTCTGCAATCATTTTAATAGTGAGACATGGTCACAGTTGAGAACAGACCTCACTGCATCCGCATTCTGTTCGGTTTTTGACGAAGAGGGGCGTCTTGATCGTTGTTCATCTTCAACACCTTCTATTTCTTTCTGAAGCCCTTGTGCCATCAGTAAACTTGTGCAGATGATAGTACAGCTTCTCCATAAGCTTTCCTCACCATTTCCAAAGTTTCTGATACATTTTACCCAATTTCACACAAAATTTTATATCGTACCACTGTTCCAAATTCGCTTGCTTGCAACTGAGCAGTGTTCTAACATATACTTCGCACCTCACCACAAGTGTCCTTGGCCAGCTTCTCCCTTCACAGAGCCCTTCTCAAGTGTAGGAACGTAATTCTCATTATATTCTGCACACACTTCATATGCTATGACAATGAGAAATGCGAAAGGTGTCTTTAAAACACACCTATACATTCCCTCCAATGAACATTTATCCTGCTCAATTACCTGGGCAAATCGCAGCCTATTCCTCTGGTATGCAGTCTTCTGCATCTTTGTTGTGTCAACCAGCTGGAAGCTGGTTTCATCCTCTTCATGGAAATATGCATACTGACTACCACCACCAAACTGAGAAGAATATTTATCTGTGAAGACACATATTAGTTATGTCAGATAAAAACACTAAAACACAGACACAGACACAGACACACACACACACTTTATAACAAAGCTGGCAAACCTGCAATTGGTGCAGTATCACAAGTTACAGTTTTTGCAAACAGCAAATACTCACACAATAAGAAGACAACTGATAAGGAAGCACAGATACTTACTGGTGTATCTCTTGTCCTGATAAGTGGCTCCTGTCCAGTCTGCAACCTTATCAATAGAAGCACAAAAAGTACACTCCCTATTAGAGCTCAAACAGCTGCAAACATTGTAATATATTTCATGTACACGCAACAGTAAATAGAACATGAAGAGAACAGGCAAGTTCTCACTTTGTTCATGTAATTGTTCATGCTTTTTGTGAAATAGGGTGCGCACAGTGGTATATTACAGACATCACAATATAGTTGTTCTAACTCATGTAAGGGAAACAAAACAGGAGAAAAATAAAAGTACCTTTCCTAGTCGATCTCCTTTGCTGAAGGGCTGATAAGGCATGTCTTTAAACTGCTCAGGTACAGCACAGGGACCCCAGCCCAAGGGGTTATCATTGATTACTGGAGCTTGAAACTTAGCCATTGTGACAGACCTTAAAAATATAACCAAAACGCATTAACTTATCATGAAGAACTAATGAACACAGAAAAATCAAACCTGCATTTGTGTACTACTCAAAGAGGATCTCTAGTAAATTGAAGAAAAAATTACTACTACTGTAGCTGCTAACTTTTAACACCTTCCTGCCCAAACTATAGCAGATTGACGGCCAGGCGGGACACTCCTCCTTCTGAGTGGGTGTCATGATGTCCTGTCAGAAGCTCATGCGGCCGTGCAGCAACGCGCTCTGCCACCGGCAGTGTCCACAGGACACAGCCAATGACAGATCACTACACCGACCCGTTGCCAGTGTCATGTGACCAATCACAGCAGAACACACAACTGTATACAATGGACGGCTTCCATTCATGCCATCCATTGTATACAATTGTGTTAGCTGTGATTGATCAAAGCAGTCACATGATACAGACAGGGCCAATCTCAGCCCATCTGTATCATGTGATGAGCTTTGCACAATCACAGCTAATCATAACAAAAGACTGAATGAATCAGTTTCATTCAGTAACAATGGTTGCTAATATCAATGAAATACATTGGTATTCACAATAATGTGTAAAAAGAAATAAAATAAAAATCCTGATCACTTGCCCAGAGTAGTTCAATGTTACTATAGTAACACCGTATTGCTTTGGTCAGAGTGTGTTGAAATTAAAAATAGAAAAAATAAAAATTTATTTTGTATTTATATTACTTTTTTACATACTGTCACCAGTGTGCCTGATCACCATCACACCATATAACAACGCTGTACTATTTTTTTTTTATTTTCCAAAAATTGTAACAAAAAATAAAATTACAACTTCAAAAATCTCACTATGCCTTTTACTAAACACCTTGGGATGTCTATTTTCCAAAAATTGGTCATTCTGGGGGTATTTGTACTATCCTGGCATTTTCAGGCCTCAAGAAATGAGATTGGCCATCAGTACATTGATTGACTGATTGTCAGAGTGTATATATGTGTACATACATATACACACACACCATGGTTTGTGGACTTTCCTACAGACTAAATCATATACAGTAATTTGGGGTATTTTCACCAAGAAATGTATCAGAATACATTTTGACCTAAATTTATGAAGAAATACAATTTTGAAAATGAAACGGAAACAAAGATGCTTTTTTTTTTTTTTTTTTCAAAAGTTTCAAAAAATAAAACTCACTGGTGATTAAATACCACCAAAAGAAAGCTCTATTTGTGTGAAAAAAAACACAACTTTCTTTATGGGTATAAGTGTTGCAGGGTCAGATTGGTTATTTTGTAGGCTGGCAGGTAAGTGTCTCTGGGAAATCCTTTGTTTGCGATGTGCATTGCCCTTCCATGTGCAACTTAGTGCTAAGGCTGGCTACAGCTTGGGAAGGTTGCCATTTTTTGTGTAGTTGGATGGGGAAGAAAAAAAAATTAAAAACTGCTAGATTCCTTTTTTTTTACAGTGAATGGCTAGCTAAAAGTAGTTGTAAAGTCAAAACATTTTTACCTTAATTCATTTTGGTAAAAACATCCCATTCTGCCCCCCCTGTCCCTAAACACTTAACGGTCTTTCTCTTGATCCAGCACTGCTGCTCTCCCTACCTGGTCTCACAGAAGAAAACAGAGAGCAGCAGGAGTCATGGGCAGAGAGAACCAGCAGGCAAGTAGAACATCTTTTTTTTTTTTTATTAGGACAAAAACAAGTTAGCCTTTACCGTCACTTTAAAAAAAAAAAAAAAAAAAAAAAAAAAAAAAAAATTGGCTTAGGTTACACGTTAAAGTTTTGGATAGAGTGGAGAAGGATTAGAACCTCTGTCAGTTTTTATTGCCGTCTGTGCCCCCAATAGGGAGATTCACCGTCTCTATTTGTCCTGTTTACCATATTCATTAAAAGTGAAAGTAAAAAACACATTTTGGGTTGTCTCCAGAAAAGTAACAGAGGGGAAATCTTCCAATGGGGACACTGGTTTGGGTAACATCGGGGTACCCAAGGGACTCCCTTTATTTGAGAGATTTCCTTTCAGTTCTTGTTTGGTTATTGAACAGGAGTAGAAGGGAAAACACCACAATGGGACACAGATGGCGCCAAAAAAAAAAAAAAAAGATCACTCACAGGGGTTATAACCTTCCGTTACTTTATCCAGAATGAAAAACGTTTCGCTTACAGTTCTACTTCAAGGATATTCAGCTACGGTAATATATAGGCAACTTGCTCTGCATGACTAATTACCATTCAGGTAACCAGTAAACTGGTCATCCTGCTCCCCAAGCTTTTGCACTCAGAAAAGTGGTCCACTGCAGATCGCATTTGACACTAGGGGGAGAGAAGTCACTTCCTCACAACCTTTGTTAACTAAAAGCCCACAACAGCATCTACAACTGTGTGCAATACACATTCGTTCTGCACTCCCGTGACCCGTTTTCAGCTGACAGTGGACTGAAGTCACTCATCCGGTTCAGGGCACCTGGTTCAGCCTATCAGCGAGCTGCTGAGAACCTGAGTAAGCCGCTTCCTCCCCCTCCACAGCCCAGCGCTCCAGTGAGTGCGGTGAGGGCAGAACAGACAGGGGTAACTGACAGTCATAGCTCTCTGCTCACAGCAGCACTCAGCGATCACATGATCACACAGCCGGCGGGGGACTGATGCAGCATTGGGTCGTATAATTATAATTTGGGAAAAAAAAACCCCCAAACTTCTCTTTTAACGATCAGTAGCTACCAAAATGAACTAAGAAAACATGACAATATTCACAATCTGACAAAACATTCTTCCTCAGAAGGTACACTCAATGAAATGACAATATGCAACTCCACTCTACTACTTTGGCAAATCTTTCTCCATCTGTGCCATCCTTTTCACTGTCAAACCTCCCATCAAACTTGTGCCATTTAATACTATAATCACCTGTCACTTTCTCCCATATTAAGCACAAAATCGAAAAACTCACCCCCTCAATAGATGATGCATTTTTGTCTGTCAAGTTATTATCACATCAACAGTCTGCAGCTTACCCTGACAATCTGAGAACAGCAAATGTGTGTTTTTTTGTTTTATTTTATAAACTCTCTCAAACTATTAGCACAACTTTGTTCTCTGTCGTTTCACCTCTCCAATAGCTCAATTCCAGATTATCTGTAAACAGTCCCTATCACTTTCAGTTGCTGGCCCCTTACCTGCCTATTGCCTCATAGTACCTGCTTTGCCCATAAATCCCAGTATGACATTTTTCTGTCATGTGTATAAATAAATGTTCATACTTGCACAAGGCCTCATACTCATGCCTTTTTGTGCAAAGAAACATTTCTCTGTGACTCCATTTGAGATCACAGCTCAGAATTAATGAGGACATTTCTGCATTTGTACTGCACCATTATATTGTTTTACAGTGTACCTGGAACCAAATAGTTCATTGAGGAGATCGCACTCATTTTGGTGTAATTTATCTTGTTTTTAATTCATGTGCATTTAACATATGCTAAAGAAGGATATACACGATGCAACTTTCTTTCCTGCAACCATGGATGCATTGTGCAGGGGAGGGGGTAAGCCAGCTCTGCCAGGAGATGACAGTATTTATTGCTAGTGGCTAAAACTGCTTTCAATAATTACATGAAATGTCTGACAGGCTGGTTGTGCTCAAGCCGTACAACAATCGAACCGGGTAAAATCAGCCTAGCCATAGACAGTTCAAACCTTGGACAGTCCCTGCTGAACCAGCCAAGATTCAAGCCATCTATGACTGGCATAAAGGATAAGTTCACCTTTGCCTCTAGTGACAGCAAGTGGGGGAAATATTTTCTCCCTCTGCTCGCTGTCACTATTAAAAAAGAAACAAACAAAAAAAAAAAAAAAAAAAAAAAACGCATCTACGTGGGGTTCCATCCCCATCATTCAGAGTTCTGTGAATGGGAAACTACAAGTACCAACAGCCTTTGCGGCTGTTGGCTTGTAGTTTTCAATGAACTACCATGTGCTGTTGAGTGCTGGTAGTCCATTGTCTCTTGCAGTCAGTGTGTAACCAGCACACAGATACACTGACAAATCTGCAGGAGTCCAGCATGGCACCAGTGATCTGCTAATGGCAGGGGTAAAATGAATTAGTGCTGCGCTACTCCGTGCTTATAATACTAAGTGGACTTATAAATGAATAAAATTGAAAAATAAATGCACATTTAACCCTCATCCGAGTGTGAAAACAACAATTTGATGACAGCAACAAATGCAGAAATCATTACCAAAAATGGCAAATACAGACAATATCAAACATCAGTAAAGCAAGACAGTGTACTTGCAATATGCCAGTGACTAGGTTAACAAAAATTGAGAAAATATAAATAATAAATTATGAGGAACAAAAACGTGACAGTGAATAAAAACCTATTAATCCGTTCGTATTGCGAAAACAAAATTAATAAACCAAGGCATTATTTTCACTCGTAAACTGAAAATTAAGTTAACTAAGGCGTTCGTAAACATACTAGAGATATATATATATATATATATATATATATATATCTCTATCTATCTATCTATCTCACACACATATCATGCTATGATGATTCATCATCGTTATGATTAAGCACGAGGTCGTGTGAAACGCGTTAACAGGTCCTGTATTCATGTCCTGGTGTTTTGTGTGTCCTATGGATCAATAAATACACACTATATTCATCTATCCTCTGGTGTGCAGTTGACCCTTCTTCCTATTGCATCATATGTGGTGGCGAGCCAAAGCCTGCACCTGTTGTGGATTGATCTCGATTGTTTGCCTGAGCGGTATACATTTGTTCTTTGGATAGGGGACGAGTAGATTGGGACCTTGACCAAGTCCCTTGGACAAGTGGTTTTTAAAAAAAATTACCACACCCCTGCTGCTGAAAGGGACAGGGAGCATGATTCCTGCACAGGCATGTGTACTTCCCTGGGGGCTGCCTCTGCAACTAAAGTAGGCAGCGGTTTGGGGTGGGAGGGGTGAAGCTCAGCTGCAGGGTTTTACC